GGCCTGATGCACTCCCTCCACAGGAAACCGTTCCGTTCTTTTGATTTGATCTTTTTTTAAAAGAGGGAAAATAAACACAGCTTCTAGCTTTGGCTTTGAATGCATGTGATTCAAACTTCTGTCTAGGGAAGGAAACTTTTCTGTCTTTTAAGTCTTTGATTCTAGCATGAAGCTTACTTCATAATGATGTTATCATATTTAATGGGATAGATCACTTTAAATGACAATTTTGTCATCATTTACATCGTCATTCCAAACCAGTTTGACTTTATCTTCTGTCAAACACAAATGAAGCTATTTAGTAAAATGTCCAAGCTGCTCATTTCCATACAGTGAAGATCAAGCAAGATTTGAAGTGAATGGCTTTAATTTTTACTTTTGGTCACATTAAATGATAAATAATTTTATGTTTAAGTGAACTAATTATAGACTAATAATGAAGACAGCTTGCTTGCATTGTCAAATAATTATTTTCAGTTATGTTTTTTTTTTTATATAATTTCCAGAAAATATGTTCACAAATGATTTAATATTTTGTTTTGTTGTATCTTCTGTCCTTCTGCTGCATCACATATGCGAGCATAAATAATCGTGCTTGTAAAAATAGCAAATCATAAACCAAAGCCTCATAACAGAAGTTCTAATTAAATATATAAACAACTTTCTGCAACTGTGTAAATCAGTTTGAAAATGAACGCGAATCTGAAAGTGACTTTATGTGAGTATAATTCATTTTTGTTTTGTTTTCCATGCATGGTCACCCCTTCTTTATGATATAAGGACAAGGGCAACTAGGCAGTAAAATCGTTAATGTGTGCGCTGTGCCTCTTCAGCTCCTGATCAATGCTGTTTTTCAGTTTTATAGGATTCTTCTTTTGGTTCTTAAACATCAAGATCAGTGGTGAGGATTTACAGCTCATTATCAAATACTGATCAGCGTCTGTGTTGGTGCTAAAAAGTATTAATGTGGTTCAAAGAACACTGAATGTGCAGTTGTGTAGTCTTAAGATTAGTCTTTAATTAGGCTTCACTTTAACAGTAGTTATGTCACAAAAGTACTAATTATTCATATGATGCACACATAAAACAAGATACTTTAAAGTCATCTTGGGAATGTTGATTCTGTGTAATTTTTAAAAAGTGATTCGATATCCAGCATTTAAAAGCAAAACCTGTTTTACCTAATGTGACCTATTCCAGGATGAGTCAATGAGAAAAAAAAATGTAAGATTAGACTTTGAACAAAATGTGCATTCTGTATCAGAATGTATGCAGACAGAGCTTAAATGGCTGTTGGTTAACATTAACCAATAGCCCATGTAAATGCAAAAACAGAAAGTAATTTAAGTGGCACAGCAAGTCATTACATTTTATGAAAGATTATGGAGACAGATTTTGTGTTTGGAATAATGTGCAATGATGAATCAAGGATAATAAAAACTTGTGTTAAGGAGTTAATCGGGTCAATTCTGAATAAATGGAACATGGCTGAGTTTGGACTTTAATAATAGCTTACTATGGAAAGAGCAAGAGCAACAGGAAGGAAAATTAAGACATTAAGAAAATTAAGAGAGAAAGTATAGGACAGTTTACTCCCCAGGCGAGAGACTATGTGGGAGGAGACTTCTCTAATCTTAGTGAGAACTTAAAAAACATGTGAATGTAAAGGAAGAGACAGGCAAAACAACCAGCTGTTAAAATGTCACCACAGCATCAGTGCATCTTTCCTCAGAGGAGCGATTCTATCACAGACCTCGTCCTCTATTTGTACAACGCATTGCTGCTAATGACAGAGTGAGAGTCAGTCCCATCAGGGAGAGCAGGGAATGCTTCTAATAAGGAGCAAAAGTACTGTTTAAACAGAGAAGTTTGTAGGTGGAAGATGTCTCCCCTTCCACTGACAGAATGAGAAAGCGGGAGAGAGATGGAACAGATAGGGAGTGGGAGGCTAGGAGATGGCAGAGCACAGCCGCATTGATTGGCTCCAGCTCGCCCGTGGGCTCTGTCGATTGTGCCCCCTCTTAAAAGGTTGCAGTGTTATTAAAAGGTTTCCTTTATCTGTCCGTCACCCTTCTGCTCTAATGATGGTGAGCAGGAGAGGAGGAGCGGAGAGAGATGGGGCCTGTCAGAGTCACTTCCTTTCTGTCTCTTTGCTCCCTGCGCTTATTCCCTCCACAACCATGCTATCATCCTACTGGTGTTACATTCGGTATGTGCCATTAGTGGATTACTATTTGTGATAATGACTTAAATGCATCCTAACTGTATCTGTGGTGCTTCAAAACTTTGTGATGTATACTGTTGAAAAAAAAAACATTCTAAACTAGCCTAGTTGTTGGTATAGATGTTTAGCTGACAAACCTACCTACCCACCTAACTAGTTTGGCCAGGCTGGGAGACCAGCTAGACCATCTTAAGAGCATTAAGAGCAGATTCCCAGCTTATAAGGTTAGACCGTTTTGCTTTTTTTGGAGATGGCTGACCAGCTGGAAAGTTCCCAAAACCAATCCAAACCAAAATTTTAAAGCCAGTTAAATATATCAACTTGACTAGCTTGGCCAGGCTGAGAGACCAGTTAGACCATCTAAAGACCAGATTCCCAGCCTATCAAACCAATCTAACCCGCTTGGCCAGGCAGGGAAGCTGATTTTTACATGATCTAGCTGGCTGACCAGCAGGCAAATGGCCAAACTCCCCTAAAAGTGGTTAAACAGACCGTCCTAGCCAGGTAGGTCAGGCTGGGAGACCAGTTAGACTATCTGAAAACCAGATTCCCAGCTTATAAAGATGGTCTGTTTTGCTATTTTGCTGGTGTCCCAGTCTGACCAGCTGACAAGAGCCCAAACCCCTCTAAAACCAGCAAAATAGACCACCCTTGGCCAAGCAGGGAAACTGATGTTCAAATGGTCTAGAATGATTTCCAAGACACCAGTGGCTGACCAGCAAACAACTTTGTCCAGGCTAAGAGACCAAAGTCTCTTTAGGCTGGTTTAAACTTTTTTCACAAGGTTCATCCAGGGAAAAATAATTTGAAGTATTAACAACGTTTTCTCTCTGTCTGCATGTTTCTCGTCACCCCCTCACCTTATACTTCCAAACAAACTCTAAACAAACACCAACCTCCTGACTAGTTATGAGTATGCTCTGAAATGTTTATAAAATGAAATGATGTGCCAAATGAATATGCTCACCAGGGGAAAAAACATCCTGAGGTAAATACTCATAATCAGAAACAGGTGTCTCGCAGTAAGCAGGTGTTTGTGTTCGTTAGAGAGAGTTCGAGCAGTACAGAGACTTTAATCCTGTGTTCTGATGGAGGGTGCCAGACTTGTTCTAGTATCCACCTGTGCTCGTTGACCCTTGGCCACTCAAGTCGTGTCCGATCAACACAGAGCACTTGCAAGCTAGAAACGGTTTGGGAGGTCACCTTTTGCGAACAGAAATTTCATCTTTCGTTTCGACTCTTTCGAAGTGTGAGCTCGTTCTCAAATAAGTCATTGGAGGACAACATAGAACACTGATCCAGTCAATGACCTGAACATTGCTCCACTGAGTCCAAACATAGCCATAGACCCGCTCCCACAAAGCGTGCCAAATCAACGACTCAGAACAACAGTCGGTATTGGCAAAGTCAATGAGATTCACCAGGTCCGACCGTTAATGTGATCAATGAGCCAGCCTTTCACTAAGTACAGATTCAGCTTCAAGATGGCTGTTCCAAAACACGGGACATGGGAAGGACAGGGGACGGGCATCCGAATGCAGAATGGCAATCTGGGATTTCACACATGAAGGATCCCACACCTGGTCTGTAGAGAACTCTCAGGCCATTGAGCTCGCTACATTGAGTCTTGTCCCCAATTGACTCTCAGATGCTGCTCTGACCTCAACTTGATATGGTAGAAAAAATCTAGCCGCCCACAGGGTCTGCTTGTCATTTCCCATTCAAAGACTCATGTATCCTACCCCAACTAATTCAGTTTGCATCCTTTCATGTAAGTGCAGGGGTCAATGTGTAAACAATGTGTAAACTAATTTTCAGTTTGGAGCTGCTCACAATGCATCCTAATTCTACTGATCCAGATATTGGATGCAAATTTTGTTTTGTCCATCCAAATATTGATGATGTTATAGAAAATTGGGTAACACTTTAGAATAATGGTCCATTGTTAACAAGTAATTATGCAGGAAGTATTAGGTAGTACTACATTAACACTGAGTTTAATACTATTAACTACTATAAAGGCAAGATCATTAAGGATGCAAATTGTTTTTGACCAGAGAACATCATTGTTTATATTCATATCCTAAAGAGAAGTCCTCTCCAGGCTACTGCCAATAAAAACAGGTGTTTTAGAGTCAAAGACTTATTGAACTAACACTGAATAGAGCTCATAATAGTGAACTAATCCAATTATGAGCTTGTTAGCATCACTTCCTAAAAATGTAAATTAAATTTTATCATTATTATTATTCTATGTTTAAGTTTAAAATAAACAAAGAACATACGTTCATCCTTTGATAAGTGTTGTAGTCACAATCTCAACCGGTAGCCAACTTATTTGGGGGGATATAATTTTCATAAATTAATTTCTCTGCAAAGAACCCATTTGAGGTGCAAGCTTCTGGTAAAATACATTTTATGACCATGTTAAGAAAAATTGAAACCAAAAAAACTTAGTGTTGTGATTAGTAATTAATTGGTTATTCTTTATTAATTGGTCATAGTTAACAAGTTGTTTTCAATAACTATATTTTTATTTAGTAATTAACGAATACCTAATAAGGAACTTCCTTTATTCTAAATGTACTATTACTTACTGCTTAGTTAATCTTGCTTCCATATTAGTTAATAGTATTAAGTTCAGTGTTAATGTAGTATGTATTACAGTACTTCCTGTATAATTACTTGTTAAAAATGGACCATTATTCTAAAGTGATACCAAAAATGGTAAGAGCACTTGCTCATGAACTTTTTGTTGCTTAATCGTTTATCAAAGGTCCTGAAGGAAGTTCGGGATGAGGACTGGGATTTGGAGAACATTGTTCACACCCTGACCAACAGAAGGAGAGGGGAAGCATCTATTACCTATGCTGAGAGCCATGACCAAGTTAGCAATTTGTTAATTTGATACTCAACTTTTGCTGGTTACCATTCACAAGCACTTTGGTGTTTTATTCTCGTTATATAAGATTACACACACTCAAATCTCTACACTTGTTTCTAGGCCTTGGTTGGGGACAAATCATTGGCATTCTGGCTGATGGACAAAGAGATGTACACCAACATGAGCGCTCTTATTGCCATGACGCCTGTTATAGACCGCGGCATCCAGCTGCATAAACTCATCCGTCTCCTCACTCACAGTCTAGGAGGGGAGGGCTACCTCAACTTCATGGGTGAGTCTCCTTGGAAACCAGTTTTGCTGGATACTTGGTGCTTTTCTTTAGTGTGCCTCCACCAAGGAAGATGGATTGTTGGCATTCTTGGCAGGCGTAAACTAGTTTTGAAGTTGTTAGGCATATTGAATCGATGGCTGATCATGTGCTACTGGATCTTCCCCTTGAGGATTTTTTGAATGGGTTTCAAATGGTTAGTAATTCCCAATATTGGTTTGGTTGCGATTGGCATTACAGTTAAAAAAATAGATGTCTATAATACCATAAAATAAGACACTATCTCAGACAAGTGGCAGAAAGAAAGCAAAGTAAGTGTATACACACATCACAACACAGGAAAGAAACTACACTCAGTCGTGCCGGGCCTGAAGCGGTAAAAGATTGCTGTCTGGATGAGTAAAGATGTCTTTCATTACAAGCGCACTTCTCTTCTATCAAACGCATAAAAGCATTTCACTTTGTCTGCTCATCCATGTCTGTGCGACAGTACTGAAAACAGTAATATGTCCAAAGGTCACCATCTTTGTATCTCTCCATCTGCAAGTAGTAAGTAAAGGCACTCTGGTATAATTGCACACAAAGGCGAGTGGCAGAGCACATTCAGAGAAGAAAAAAAAGAATGTATGCCTGAGACTCGAAACAGTCAAGACCAGACGGCAAACAGCAGTGCCATCAGATCGATGGCAAGGCAGTCGTTTAGCCTGTGTTGAGCGAGAACAAATTGTTCGAGCAAAAGAATCAATCTGGCATGTCAAGACTAAAGCTCCTCATCCTAGAAAAATTCCTCTTAACTCAAAGTGAGAAAGAGGCCAGCAATGGAAAAAAAACATTTGGTAAACATGGAAAAGGACATACCTGCATTTCAAAAGGTAATTGTGTAAACGTCAACACTTTGCTCCTTCTTGGAAGGCAGATAATTCTGTGTGAAATTCACTGTGTTATGTATATATTTATTTTAATTTCTTTATATTATTTATAGAAGCCTTTTTTATTATTTATGGAAGTCAGGGTTTTTCATAATTGTCTTTATATCTATATTTATATTATTTTAAACATTACCTCACAGTTATTTTAGGCAGAAACAGGCTTCTTGAAGTGGTTATTTATTTATTTATGGTCTTATTTTCCTGTTAAAAATAAAATAAAATAAAGCAAAGTTGTGTTTGTTATTTTATGTATTTATTTATTTATTTTGTCTTGTTTTCCAGTAAAATAAAATAAAAAATAAAAATAAAAATAAAAATAAGCATGGTTGTGTAAGATAGTAAGCTAAACAAAAATGTTTTAGAGTATGCGGAAGCCTGGGGCTAGTTTTTATACACTTTACTGAATATTTCTCAGTGTGAAATTGTTTATTTAACTAAATTTTTATATTGGAGCAAGCCTGGAAGTCTTACCAAAAAGTTATTGAACATTTCCACCCATATTGTACAGGAAAAAGAAACAAACACAAGTCATCTTTTTGTGTGCATGTTGTCACACTATTTGGGTTAAGTTGTCACAATGAAAACAGCCAAATGGTCTAATATCGGCTTTTCAGAAAAAAACATAGATACAAATAGGCTATTTGTAGATTTTAAATATAATGTGACAACAGCCCCAAATACAATGTGACTCCCAAACTAATTTCTAGTGATTAGATGTAGAGCAGAAAATGGTCAATTATACTTATTAAGTAACTGAATTATGAACTAATGTGTAAAGAGGAACTTGGTGGAAGAGAGCAGGTTCATCCTGGCTGTTCAGGTGAAAGACTAGACTGCACTCCTTCTCAAATCAATGCTCAGTTTTGCTCAAATCCATCCACACAAACACATCGATCTCTCTCCCCGCTTACGCTGTTAATTAGCATGCTGTGGCTACATCATCTCCTACACCAGCTGACATGCTAGCACAGCTCTGTAAATATTCCAGCTCGTTTCAGAGGTCGCTGTTTGAACTGTGAGAGCTGCTTCAGGCTTGGCAGATTAACATCCGCTGCTTCATGAGATGGTTGTGGTGCACATCCATTCCTCTCAGCCCTCTTTCTCTCCGGATCATTGTGCTATTGGACATTGATGTTAGCAGTGTTCCTCTGATTAGTAGTTCTCTCTCATTGACTTTGGCTCCTCTCCGAGGGAACTAGAGAACTGATCAAAAATTGCTACGCCTGTCTGCCTCTGCTGTTTGTTATTACAACCATCATTGCAGGTCTCTGTTATTTAGGCTGTGCGTGTACATAGAGGGGCTAAATTGGGATTTTGAAGATGGGAGAACATTCAAATCTGATGTTGATCCTTGTGCTCTGACGCCTGATAGTTAGGTAGGTAGGTAGGTATGTAGGTAGGTAGGTAGGTAGATAGATAGATAGATAGATAGATAGATAGATAGATAGATAGATAGATAGATAGATAGATAGATAGATAGATAGATAGATAGATAGATAGATAGATTACAAGTTACCCTATTTTAAATGTAATAAGTAGTGTAACTATTTCAATTACTTTATTAAAGTAATATAATGGATTACATTTGATTCCTGACACTAATTACTGTCAGAGACTTTCAAAATTCTTCATCTCTTGAATTAAGACTATAATCATTTAATTTTAAAGCAAAGCCACCACAAAATCAGAGTTTAGCACCTCTTTTTACTTTGAGATTGTTCTGAGTTTAAATACAGATTTAAAATCATAATGAGAAATAGTAAATATTAGTGCTGTCAAATGATTAATCGCAATTAATAACATCCAATATAAAAGTTTTTGTTTGCATAATATATGTGTGTTCTGTGTATTTATTATGTATATGTAAATACACACATACAGTATATATTTTGAAAATATTTACATGTATTTACATGTCTGTATTTATATTCATATAATTTATTATTAAATAAATATATTTAATATATAAATATAACATATTTTTCTGAAATATATACCGTATA